CACAAACAGACACACACACACAGATACATAAAGAGTGAGTCATGTGCAGAGAAGAAACAGAGAAACAGAGAAAAGGGGGGAGGATGTCACAAACTCTGAGATTTGAGGCAACAGCCTGACAACTTAAGTGCAACTGGGCTCTATTATTTTATAGCCTGTATGCAGAATAATGCCTGATTGCTTCAGCGTGTGCTCTGCTCGCACCACATATGCACTCTAAATCAGCTCAGCCGGGGCTGTTCTTTCCATCTCTGCAGCTTTCAGGGCAGATTTTTCTTCCTTAAGTAATAGCGTAGTGTCAGGAAGCTATATCGGTTGTCCTTCCCATATCCACTCACTGCTTGATAAACGGCCACAGTCATTTCCTAAACGTGGCTATTATTTTACCTAACCTTGCATTTGCAGGCTGAGGATCCATAGAGAAGTGATTTACTCCTGTTAGTTTAGTAGTTGGCCACTAGAAGGCGCTGTTAACAATGATAAGCTCTGCAGAGGAGCTCACTCACATGTCCTCTGTATATACTTAAGAAATCAGAGAAAAGGACCACATTAAGTGATACATAAATATGTCATCATGGCTGTAATAGCACTGAATTATTGATTTTACACCAAAAATGTTCTCCATGGAATTAGTGACTGGATAATTACATAATCTCACTTATATGAAATTGAAGTCACATGGGCATTTCTTTGGAATAACTCTTATATTTGTTTTCACCACAACATTAGTATGGCATATGTTTAGTGTTTCCTTTACTTCAATTCAGCCATGATTTTATAAAACTTGGTTTACAGAGGATGTTGAAGGGTTCCATAACCACTGTTTACATATCTGGATTGCTTTTTTTTCCATTTCTTTTCCTCTGGTTTCTCTTACATGCCTCTATCCATGCTATCACTTCCCATCTTTTGCATTCAACAGTAAACATCTGGAGCAGACGGACATTTCTTTCAGAGTTTGACACAAAGGGACAGATCTTAAGGGGGGAAAAAAAGGTCACAAATTAATCCAGCCGCTGCAGAAAGTGCAGAGTGAATTGTGATGGTTAAACTTCTCACCAGCCAGATACTGAGTGAAGGACTGTGGTGAGTCAGTGTTCCCTCCAAAACCAACAGGAGCGGCAAAACCCTGCAAGAGTAAACTTAAGACATAAATCTGAGCTCCTTTGGCCAAAGCAGAGCAGCGATAATGAACAGGATTAAGACAGTAAAGCAGTGTGGATTAATGATGCATCTACCAAATCTCAGCTGGGCAAGAGACGATAGATGAAGAGAGAGGATGACAAATTACAAGGAAAGTATGCTCCCAACACAATCTCCTGTTGTTAAAGATGTACAATACAAGTTGTCATCACTGAAGGGACACAATGTTCTTGTTTCTTTTTCTCTGTTCTCATTCTTTGCTCAATGCAAATCTCAATTCCCCAGAGATCAGTTCATGCATCAATCCGTCCGCTCCTCCCTCTGTCCCACCCTCCTTCTAGCCATGCACTTAAAGGAACAATAACTAAGTTACATTCTGCACCAAAGTGCAAATTCTTGGTGAATAAATGATGTCTTTGGGTGGTGGTAAAAACACAGAAATCTAGTTCTAAATGCCAAAATACTCATCACCTGGCATTGCAATTTCCCAGACTCCTTCCACTCAAATACTGGCAGAACTGTAGTCCAAGTGAGCCTCTCAATACATCTCGGCAACAGAGGCTTACAGCTCTGTTCTCACTCCAAAACAAGAAAGTGCTGAGCAGCATTAGTTACATCTGCTATGATCAAGGGGGCAATAGGATCAGGGAGTGAAAGTCCAAGTGCAATTTCAATTGGAAACAAGTAGAGGTCGGTGAAGGTCAAAGATTTCTCAGAGTGACACAATGACAATCCAGCATTTGCTGCCATCTAGCATCCAATGCTTGACTTTTTCACACCACAAATGTCATATGATGCTGTGTGACATCACTGATGGGCATGGTGTCAAGTGCAACAAACAAACATATCTCAGGTTGTTTCACTGACTCCACAGCCGACGGAGGAGGACAACTTTAGCAGCAGAGAGAGGGACATGTTCTAACTGTAACAAATGAATTTGCAGCGCCTATAAACATTGACGTCCTGCAGTCGTCTCGCCAACATCAACACTAGCATCGGGTTATATATTTTCCTGGAGCCGCTATGATCCAAAATTACAACTGAGGGAAAAAGTTACATTTGTGTTGGATAATTAGCCCAGGTAAAAAATATACAAAAATAAAAAGAAAGTGATATCTTGGAGTAGTGTTTCGGTTGCAGAGCAACTAGCCACAACTGGAGACTCAGGCAGGCACTTGTTTGCATGTGTGGTGAGGGTGTGGATAGCTTTCCATTCACCATGTGTTCGTGCCAGAGGAGTAGTAGCAAACAAACCAATGTGCAAGTTGCGTCGAAAGTAGATCCTTATGCAGTTAGCCAGTTAGGCTGTTTCAGGTGGTGTACTTTCAGTCAGGCTCAGATGCACGTATAAAGGATTCATGTAAAATCCATAGTTATTTGGAAAGCTGTAGGAGGCAGCTTGGCCCGATATACGTTGTTTAGCGCAAGTCTTTGTTTGCCTGAATCTCTACAATGGAGCCACAATAGACACATTCATGGGAAATACGCCAGGTTGAAATAAACGAGAACACCCAAGCACATGAACCACTGATTTTATTATGACAAAGTCATCAATATCTTCCAAACATGCTAAGCTCTCATATGTGCCTCGAGAACAAACTTGTGTACATGTGTGATGTACACTTGCCGTGTGCATATGTGTTTAATTGTACTCTGTTGTGTGGGCAGGTGTTTTTGTGTTTTATGTCCTTGCACTCCCCATAGATGGAAAATAACGAACACCAGAGAATGTAGCTTGTAATTTTTCTTGTTCCACTTCGTCAAGTCGTCACTCTACATATACACAAGAGGAGTGCGTGATACACAAACACTCTCAAGCACACAAACAGTCCCATTTCCAAGGACATACAGAAAGGTGTTGTTGTGTATATCTGTTGAGACCAGACAGCACGGCTCCAGGAATGAACCTGTTAGCAGTCTGCATTTTGTCATTTAAACTGTGGAATAAAACTGTCCGCTGTGAAGTCAGTAATGTGGATGAAAGTGTAAGAGAAAGACACGAGCAATGTGTAAATATGAATGTGAAGGCTAGAAAGTAAGAAAGAAAGAACGGGAAAGAGATTTGACCAATACACTGGACTCATAAGAAGCTTTGATTTACAGAAATAATGGACAAGGCTGTGGATCTCTCTGCTGCAAGGAGCAACAAAACCGAAAATGATTTAATTTGTCTGGGTTTCACTGGAGCTTTAATATCATATTATGGTATAAATGCTGTTTCAGAGTCTTTTATTCACTGTCAAGAATAAAAATATTGACTTTTTGGGGGCATGACTATGGTCATATTTTAATGAACTGTATTGAATGTCAGCACAAAATATGAGCTATTGAAAGCTTCAATACAAAAACACTGATATCAGT